GTCATGAAAGCAGTTTTATTGGAAGCCTTAGAAGCTCCCAGAAGACTCTGCAAGAGGTATTTTTTTCACTTTTAAACACCGTGAAAGTGCAAAAGTTTGCTAAGCAGGCTTTGCACTCAAATCCGCTTTGATGACATAAGGTAGAACAGTATAACTTTTACGGGTGAATTAAAAGCTGTTGCATGTGAAGTTAAGGAATTCATACCAACTCAAACTCTGAAATATTTAAAACAACTTCAGGTAACTTGGAACTATATATTCATTTAAAGTTAGGGGTATCTTCTTCTCATACTAATCCTAAACTAAGTAAACTGCAACCTACAATAAATTTTAAATGCTCTATAGAGCATTTTCACCACCTACTGCGGAGCGTTTCGATCCGAATACAAACCGTGGCTTTCATAGACAAAGTAACCTCGTCACTGTTAGACACATTTTCCGAGTTGATTTTCAGCCTTGGCTCCACATTACAAGACGTGTGCTTCATCACCCGAGGAAATTTGGGTCCCACATTTTGAGACCCATGATGTACTTCTTGCTCATATCATATACGAAAAGAAAGCAACATTATTTGCAAACTTCTAACCAAATGTTTGATGCAAAGATTAAAAAGTATGTCTTGTGAAATCTTCTGTCCCTTAAGTGTTTGAGACGGGTTTTAGGGAGATTGTAACTCAATAATTTACACGAACTTGTTGAAGACTTCTTGTAATAATGGTATTTAATTTATTTGTCAAAGCATGAATGAGCTTTGATTAATCATAACCCGTCATTTTATGAGCATTTTAAATGCCTCCACTAAGCCTAGGCACACTGAAGAGCTGCTGGTTCGGAAAGTTGTCATGAAATGGCTATGCGGCTGCAGGCCCGCGGCATCTTGAAGCTGTGGGTGAATAGGACATTGTAGAGTTTACTAAAGCATCTTGAATTGCTCAAAACTACTCAATTTTTCTATCCGGGGGTATTCCTTGGTAATCTCGCGCATCTCGCGAAGTTCAGTCTCGAACCCGCGACCTCCTGGGTAGGTGTTGGAAAACTAACCCACTGGTTATGAGCGACCGATCAGCAGTGTGATTAACTCACATTTATACGGGGTACACCAGTGCCCATCGTTTAATCAAGTGATCCACAAGTATTGACTGGCTTCTCGATCAACGACATCCCGGACGGAAGTTTCACTCATTGGGTGAAGTTTATTCTTCCATTGAGCTACCTATAGGCTGTTGGTAGTGTGAGGAGTTTTGGAAATGTATAATGGAAAATTCATCCCGCAAGTGAAGCAAATCTGTGCCGAAATACCGAGAAGCACTGTACGGCTGTTTCATTCTCGTTGGGAATCATCAGCAATGCACATCTTGCGATACTCCAGAGAGTCACTGCTGATCAGCCGTTTGTTCCAAGCGGTTAGTTATTCCAACTACTACCCAGGAGTTCGCGGGTTCCAGAATCTCTGGCGGTTCGTGAGATGCACACAGCTGATGAAACAGCTGCAGAATACGTATCGGTTTTTCAGCATAGATTGGTTTCAATTGCGGGACGGAACCTCGCCAGACATTTCTGGATCCCCTCACACTACCAACAATCCGGAGGATTATTTTAACTTAAGACCCACCAGACTAACAAAGGTGACTCGAAATTTGTTGCACTGATAATATTTCCAAGATAGAAATGTTCTAAGTAAAGAATGTGCTTCGTTCAGCATTCGCCTGAGTAATTAATCAAAACCGACCATTTCTACTAGATGTGCCTAAGACAGAAAATATCTGATAAAAATAGAGCACTGTATTCGTAATAATACGGTTGTCTACAGTTCAGGCTGTTGGTAAGGGGAATTACAACCAAGTCTGCCGTTTATAATACTCACTTACTACCTCATGTTTAGTGGAAACGATATATAAGTATCAAAGTACTTCTGAAGGCAAAATGCCGCTTATAGAATACAAAATAAGACTCCAAAAGACAACGGCCTGATGAGCGTAAAAAATATAGCAACCCTCATTGGTTTATCGGACGGTTGTCAGCAGCATCAAAGGTAATGCCATACCAAAATCCCCTGGTTTTATTTCATTGAAATCCCAAAGATATTCTATAATGAGGTAGTCAAACTACAAAAAAATAATGGACGTTGCTATGTAGGTCTCCAAGCCCATTTCCCCTGTCAACTTCCATTACTGGCGTACCATTAGTTAACCAGTTCGTTATCTGGTTTCAGTGATCAGTATGACAACGTTCAAAACCAATCTGATGGCGTAGGTTTGCGTTTGGCTGTTCCAGGGGTGCTGACACGAGTCAAACCGCACGAGATTAAAGGTAGAATTAAAGCAAATAATTTACGAAACCGGCATCAACGCTCGATCGAGAAAATGGAAACTAATCGGTGGTTTGGCCCATATGAGGGACAGATAAAATTAATTTACGACTGTACATTCTCAAGCTTACAGAAAAGGAAGTCCATCATGAAAGTAAATAGAACAACGTTTTCAAGTTGGCCGTGTTAAGGAGCTATCCGCTGGTATTGTCTGAAAAAGGGTATAAAACAAAGGTAAAGCTTAAGTGACCACATGATGCTGGTCTGGTCAACAAATGCACTATTTGATGGTCAGATCTGTAGTGGGAGCAATACCCTGGCAAACAGTTAAAGAAAACTGGCTCATCGTTATTTCAATAACTACACCGGTGGGATTCAACAGTAAATCTGGGTACTAGTTACAATTATATTATCGTCCAAAGAAGATTCTAGTAAAGCACTACAATTCAATTGGCTCATGTACAGCAGATACTACGGACTGGTGCCAGTAACACTTTCAGAACCAAAAACAACTAAAATTGCCTTGGATTTAGAGTTCATAATGAACTTAACAGTTTCTTTTTCAAGGAAACCGTACAAAACGTGCAACAGATGTACGAAGTATGGTGAGTTGTTTCTTGCAGTGGCTTATACTTGAATGAAGCTCTTGTATGACAGACCTTCATGTTAGAGCAAGACATCCGTCAGATACAACCCTGTGTAAAAGGCAACAAGTAATTTCCCTTGCACTATGTGGTAATATAAAAAATCCTTCGTGTGACGTTAGCGTGTCCTTGCTGTGTCAAACAATCCTAGAGCGTTGCAAAAAAGCTTGTGCAATTTCACGCAAGACATCAAAGCACTGCTAAGTAAATACACAAAGTGGAAGTAGTTCGCTGAAGGGAAATGAAGTCAAAATACGTTCTCGGTCTTTGTGAATAGTGATTGGCTCTGCACGCATAACAGCAACAGGCACAAAGCCCATGAAGTCCAGGTGCTGCTCACTCCATGTGCTTTCATAGTAGACGGATGAGGCACACGTAACCATAAGTATACCTGCGAACGCAATCAAAATTAGTGGACGATTTACCATAAAAGAACCGGCGATTCTTCCCTATTTCGTTTATATTATGCGTATTCTCTAAGTGAAATGCCTGAATGAACTCATTTGACGACTTGTTTAATAATACCTGCTCGGTAAGTAGCGCAAGAAGACGAATATTGGAGCATTCATCCACTTATTTAAGCGTACAGGACCACAAGAACGTTATGCCTTCTAGAGAGAGTATCTTGCAGAAAATGTGATTTTTATTGGAAGAACTGTAACAGATGTCAATTTTGTCCTGACATCGCACACGTCTTAACCGATTCTGTTTCTAGGCGCCCTGGAATGGAATTCTCGAAATCGGTTATTCCGTTGCGACGAAAGCTATGTTGAGTGTGGAAAAAACGTGTCTTACTTTATTGGTTATTTTCCCCTATTATAAGCAATCTTTTCACAGGTCTTGGTATAGAAGCTTAAACTCATAGCCTAAGAAAACACATAGGAGCCAATTCCTTAGGTGAGTTGGCCTTCAGATTTGATGATTTTTTGATGGTGCGAGGGGATTGTGGAACTTTGCTTCTTAGGTGAAGCCACTCTATAATGACCATCCGAAGAGCACTTTAGGACTCTTTAATTCTTATCAGGAATAATCAATATTGTGCATCCAAGGGAGCTCCCGGCGAATCTCACACCCACGACTTTTTTGCCAGCAGTTTCACCATTTAGATACTTGATCACAAGCGCCCTGGTTCCAAGAGTGAGTGACGCTAAATCCTGTCCGACAGCTAAGTATTCACACTACCGATAAGCCTCCTGTGGCCAAACAATTAATTTTTGAAATTTCCAGCCGGGAGGTCACAGGAGGGACCCTGGAGGCTCGTGAAGTGCGCGCTACTGATGATTCCCAATAAGGACTAAACAGCTGCACAGGGCTTCTCGGCTTCTCGGCCTAGACTTGCATTACTCGTAGGGGACAATCACCACAAAATAGACCATTTTGCTTTGATACCACTTGCATTTGTTTTCTACCATCAGCGGGGCAGAGAAATGGATCAAAACTCAGGTGAAAAAGAGGTATAAGCAGATCAAGTATTTTGCTGGACTGTTTTACTGGAAAACTATGATGGATGTTTTACCGTTTATATCACAGTGCCTGTTGATCGACTATTCTTAAATGAAGCTGAACTAAATTTACAGGAGCAATTAATAGTGAAACTCCGTTTTTTAATATACCGTTCTGCATAGTGAACTGCTTAAGAGTTGGTTAGTTTGAAATATCTCACAATGTTGAGTGAGATCGTAGATCACAGAGCTAACTCACAATCCTTATTCTTAAAATGAATTTTACAAGCCGATCGGTTGAACGTGTGGATGTAAAGGCTCAGCAAACTTAATTGATACCTATCCCTCCTTAAGTTCACGCAAAAGCCTGTTTTATAGGTTTGCTAGTCAACAGAATTGGGCTGTCTAATCGTGATTGGTTAAAATCCTTCCGCCGGTTCATTGCCCAATAACAAACTGTCAAAGCGATGGTGTGTAAAACCGCCCGGCTTAGTCCAATGCGGTTGGCAGAAACAATTTTTAAAGTCCAGACCATGCTATAGAACAGACCACTGACTCCAAAGAGTGTTCTTCCGTATGGCTTCTGCCCGTTCAGAGCGTAGGCTCCTACTTTCCAACTTCGTCCCGGAAGCACCTAAGCTACTCATGCTCGATTCTCGTTAATGACATGGAGGTTGGATTAGCATTGTCATCATCAAAGTTTGCCGGTGCATCCAACCACTGTGATTATTTTTGTCTTGCTTGAGGTGTTTTCAGGATTCATTATAAAAAGTTCCATGATGTCGGTCAAAAAGCTCTGCCCTGAGTGAAATTAGTCAATTTTCAGTTCACCTTATGTGCCGGAAATGGATCCTGGAGGGGCACTCAAGATCAGTCGGCTCTTTAAAGTCCACTATGGTGGGGACGGGGTGGATTTTGTGGATCAGTTAAACTATCAGTTCACCAGTGGAATGATTATTGTATTTATCGTGATGATCGGATTTCGACAGTATGTGGGTAAGTTTTCTTTGAATTTTGTACGCTAAACTGAAAGAATCCACGGGAAACTGAAAAGTTTGTTAGCCTGAAAAATACAGCTTCCGACAAAAGCAGCGACTAATTCAACAGAATAAAGCGTGTACAGATTGTCTTTAGCCACAATTTAATGGTAGCATCAGTGTACTCATTTCAACAGTTAAGCTTTTTGGATATAATGACAGCGTTATATATATCTCCTGATGGAAATTATTTGATCCCTAGCGCCCAAAATTATAGATATGAGTTGCTGAATGTATAGCGTCAACACTCGAAAACAGTCTGCAAACATCAGGTGACTTTTATTATCAAAGTAGAAGTCAGGAGTTTTCCAAGCAATATCTTCCTGCTCGATTTGGTACTCAGTGGGGCATCTGTTCGTAAAAAGTGCGAATAGTGAACACGGAGAAAACCAACAGGGTGCAATAAATGAGATCAATTTTACGAACACCAGTAAAGTACATGCTTTTGTTCGTTTCCACGAATTTCCAACTGTAGAATTAGTTAATATGTCCATCTTTTTATAGAAAAATTGTGGAGAACATCAGCTCAAAATGTCACTGTCTTTACACGATTAGTCAGTGCCGCATAATTATTTGAAAATCAACAAAGATGAAAACATCTAAGTCAGCTACACCATTCTTGTACTTTATCCAAGTTTGTAGGGGTTATTCGTTCCTCCTTTTTGCAGGCAAGTAGCAATCCAGCTCGTCATTTCGGTTACCGTTGTAGCTATGACGTGTGACAAACCCAAAATAGTGGTAGTTTCAGACGCCACGAAATATTTCCAGTATATTCACAAACAAAGATGTAGTACAGATTTTAATTTAGCGTGGAGCAGTGCTTATTTGTATGTTAACGAAAAAAATCTCCGAAGAGATATCAAATGCACTTTGCAATCATATACAGCGCAGTCCTGTATTTTTAACCTACACTAAGCTGTCAACTTTGCCAGAACTGATCTTATCGGTCACGATGGGAAATCAGGACAAGCGAGTGCATCGCGTTTGCGTTGTTGCTTGTTTCCTACAGGTTGCGTGGAAATCAAATTGTCTTACTACTGTGTACTGGCAACCCTGAAAGACTCGTCTGCATTTTGTCAACTAAGGTACGATCTGACCTCATGGACTACACTGCAGATGGGCAAGTCGAATGGAAGCAGGCACAAAGTTACAGAGCCAAGACATAGGCCGCATTTAAGCTGCCATCTAAAACACGGATTTGCCGAATGGTACTGTGATCTTTAGGAGGTAGGGCGCTTGGTACTAAGGAGTGCTACTGGTCGTCCTGCATTCTAGTCGAGATCCATGTATGCCTCAGAAACATCACAAGCAGTTACCTGGCTCACAAGAGGCTATTTTGTAATACATTATAGGTGGCATGAGCAGTGGCTCACAAATAACTTCATATGCTAAGCTGGCGAGGATTGTCCCCTGAATTTACTCAGAAAATTTAGTGAAAATGCGCACCGAACAGGAGACTAACCTGAGTCAACTCGCTTAGTCCAGAAACTATTGACAATCTACAACTGTGGGGGAATTGATACCGATGTACATAATTTGACCGTAATGACGCTCATCTGTAGGTGTATGTCAGGGAAAACAACGGGACCCAATGCGTCTAAACCCAGCACTGAAGAGTGACAAGTGGTGATAAATACTTTTTGTGTCCAGAATGAAAACACAGAGACCGTGTGTCTCCGATGACCTGAGACGTTCCACCTTGAACTAAACTATTACAACTATCTAAATCTAGCACCGCGGGGTCAGGTGTTTACGGGCCCCAGTGAAGTAATGAAGTCTCTACCAATCCATTTGATCTTGCTGTTTGCTGCGGTACGCAGATTATCGCACCTAGATAAGGCCTCGGCATAAAAATGATTCACGAGCATGTGTCTATTCCCTTTCCTGAGCGTTCGCATTTAGTGTAATTTATAAAGTCTAAAGACGTTATATGAGTTTTACATATCTTGTGAGCAGGCAGGCACTACCCGGAGGACCTAAATATAATTGTGCGTTTGACGTTACAAACATGATAACAATTGCAAGATGCTGTAAAACGGTTCACGCTCCAGCTGATTTGTCCTTCAGCTGCTGCAGCCAGCATGCTGTGGGTGTTGTTGAATGTGAAACATGATTGATTGCACTAAGTGTATTGGAAACGTTCACCACTATAGTGGAGAATTCATTAGTCAGATACACAAGACTGTGGTTTGATTTAGCCTGCGGCGTCTGTACGGGGTTCACACACCGCAAACAACACCTTATATGAGAAATAAGTCCGCGTATGACAAGAGCCATCAGCATCGCAGCTTAGCTAACAATATGTACTACACACCTTTATCATAGAATCCATGTGAACAGTGTAGCCCGGTTACTGTTGCAAGTGGATAACCTGTGCAAACGAATCAATGCTCATATGAGTTGAAATTACTGCCCATGGGAACGACGGTTCATATGAAACGGCAAATCAGCGCACTCTGATAAAGAAGAATTTGCAATTGCCTCACGAACGAAATAAATCCACAACTTGAGAAATTTGTGTTGTAGTATTAACTTTCTGGAGGGATGTCTTATTAGCTTTGCCATAGTTAGCTCAATCTCGAAAACGAAGATCAAAGAAACGTGTACAGTGTACTTATGTATGCACCAGCACGCCTAAAACTATCGCAAAGCTCCCACTTTTCGAAATATCACTGACAACAGAGTTCAAATACTCCGACCAGAAGATCTGATGAAAACGTAACTAATTCAGTAAACTAAAGCATCAGTAGCCCGGTGACTATGAACGTGTGTTAGGTAAGTTTTCTACGGCAGCGGCCATTTGTCAGAAGCTGCCTTTTTTGGGGAGCACATGCGGCGTGGCATGTTGTTGCACAGCTGTGTTGGACACCAAATTGTGTGATGGTAGCTGCAACTGCGAGTAGACCTTCTGCGTCGTAAAGGCAATACTGTATTGTGCCAAAGTGGGGAATGTACGGATGAAGGAAAACAATCTGAGGTGTCCGCCCCAATGAACTATAACTGCTTGACATTCGTTATAACACCAGTCATCTGGCAGTTGAAAAAATTAATGGTCGGAAGAATAATGATGAAGGCGAACCTCACTGAGACAAAATTTTTGTTGAATTTTGTTACCTCAGCAGACCTTAGGCGTACAATCTCGTGGGCTAAATTCCTTGCCTTGTCCGAGCGCTACGGCTTCCAAATTCGTTTCAGTATACTCCGCGTTAACCGAAACAGGAACACATACAAGCCTGACCGGCTAAAATTTCTGAGAACATCCTTTCTGTTTTACATCCCTCATTAGGTTTAAATTTAGAAGTTAATTTTTTTAAATCTTCTTTCTTCCTGGTTTCGGCAAATTATCTAATCACAAATTCGACCTAATGATGCCGAATATATTGACCTAAAGAAAACCATGAAAAACGAGATATTCAGCTGTGGAAATGAAATTTCTGTGTAAGTGAAAATGTTTGTCAAAATCCGTACATTTTGAGTTCGGAAAATAACGTTCAGACTGTTCCCACTTGACGAGCTCCCAAATGGGCGGAACCAGTCGTGGGCTATCGTAGATTTTTAGAACTATTTTTGGACTTTGTAGGCAGTAGTTCACCTGGCAGTCGTCTACCCGTGGGCGTTTATCAAACAAACCAGATCATATCTACTGCACTCAGTTAACATTTTGCGTAATTGCGCTCCACACAGCATACTCAAAAACGCATCAGGGGTTTAAGCACACGGGCAACGCATAAAGCCAACTGCCGAGCACACATTTTCAAAATCGAACACTAAGCTGTCCGGCGCAGTTAACTTGCATGCACGTGATCACTACCAGGACCAGTCTTTGAGAAAAGAGCGAGTTTACGGGTGCGCGAGTGGCTTCTGTGGTGATATGTCAGGGGAGTTAACTGATACCAGTTGCTTAGGCAGCTTAGTCTGATTTCAATTCCGGAAGATATCTATAAGAAAAAGCTTGTTGCACTGGCATATTTTTAAAGGAACTATTTGACGAAGGTTGGATAAATAAAACCGTTAATTTTGACCCTGATCCGAGTACGAAGATGTGCGGAAGAAAAAAATAAACATTTGATGAAAAATTTGGCGAAATTATGCCATCACATACATTTTAGCTGCATTCCACAGTTGGTCCGTACAAATAGCTGGGATTGACATTCAGTGAGACGATAATGTTCCTTTTAGTTCACCATATCAAGACAGAGACACAGATATTCTCTTACAGTTTGTTACCCAGTAGTTTATTTGGATGTCAGTTTTATGCCCTTTCAAAGATAAACAACTTTTTTCGAAGTTCAAATACTTGTTGCCTATCATTGATTTCCATTTTGAAAAACATTAGCATAGCCAAAAACACCACAAATCATATTTATCATCAAAGTAATCTCTACTTATTCCAAATGATCCACTGATAAATGATAATCAGATAGCTCGTAAAGTAAGCATGCTTGGGCATCTCGATATCTTGGTCGGCGCACAACTTGCTCACAAGGAGGGGACGGTGGTTCAAATACATCCATCTACTCAACAGAGATTTAATCCTGTTAGAGACGCCTTTATATGTCAAAAAGCCGAGGAGCGTTGTACAGCTATCATATTCTTGTTTGGTATCATCAGTAGTGCAAACTAAGAGTTTTAAACCCTCAACTTTCCACTCGGTGGTTGAGCACGTAGCCGTCTTGCTGTGAGTAACTGATCGAAGGGGTGATCAGTCCCCCTTGGAGCTCTTACTCTATTTTAAAGTGACAGACGCAGCTAACAGCCAATCCAGCTCCCGAAGAAGAATGATAACTATGGCTTTACGACACATTTAACATTTACGTACCTTCAGAACTGACATGATGCGTGTAATAAACACAATAAAAACCGTGGCATACTAATGGTGACTATTTGTTATGGACCAATCGACGGCACTCAACTTTCTTGGGAACTTGATTAAGTGAGGCAAACTCTTGTTCCGGCGTT